ATCAGACAATTAAAACGAAAACACTTACAAAAAAGTTCACAAAAAAACAATTAAGTAAACATCTCAATTGATATTTTAAAATACCATTTTGCTTATTACCAAGTTTCTCTTTAGAGTTGTACATAATTTAAATTATTTTAGCGTGATACAGCGACACGGAGCTAATTAAAAAAATAGCGAAGCGCCACTGTCGTGTATACAGTACACGAAGCATGGCAATTCCATTAAACGCGTGTAAATTTTATACACACCATACATTTTGTCACCTTATTGTAAGTGAACGGCTGAACAGAATTGATCATATGAAATATCAGTAGATTAGGAAAGTTGTATATAAAGGAACGGACAAATAAATATACAGATTGGTTGACAACTTTCTTAGTTACAAGCCAAAAATTACAACATTTCTGAGGTGTCAAGGTAACAGTTTTATCAAATATTTTATATGTATGATGGCCAGGCGTTGTTGATGGCGAAGAGGGGTCAGATCTGATCGGGTCGGGGGAGTCTCCACCACTACGTTTACGGTGATACGTTTTTACTGACAGATAAGGGCACCTGGTACCAGACACGACGTTGCTGACCGCGGTCTATTGACAAATTTCAAAGTGTTGTGTCTTTGTTTAGCTGCGACGCTTGCCGGTGATTTTTATTACTTGAATAATTAAACCTTTTCTAAAAATCGTTCTTACCTACTTAATAGTTTTATTATAAACCGGATATTAATAGAACGATGTTTATCTTTTGGTAAACGATTATTATAATTTTACATTACATGAACGTTTTTCGGTGTAGACTGTAGACCAATATTTTATCGTAAGGTGTTAATGAACAAAGAACTAAAAATATGGTCTTCGAGGGTCGTAACAATAAATCGGTGCTCGCAATTGTGGGCAACCCTTGTATACATAATGCATCGCGTTTGTCTGGAAATAATATCGACCAACAGGATTCTAAAAGAGTGAATTAAACATGATCCAGCCTTAATAAATTGTTTTACATTTAGTATTGTGAAAAAAATGTATGTAACTAAGAATTCTATTTTCTAAAATATATAATCTGGAAGACTCCGAAATTATTACAAAATTAAAGAAGTACACTTATCGAAAATCATAAATAATTATATTTTACATTAAAAACTTAACCTCAAAATGAATGTATTATAAAAAAAATATCATATAATCGCTTACTAAGTATACATGTCTACGTAAAAGTTCGTAAACTAAATTATTATTAAATGTACTTATTATACCTTTGAAGATAAAATAACTTAGGATTAATGTAATATGAAAACTTTAGGAGACGTTTTACAATCCCTTAAGTTTTAATAATAAGTACACGAGTTAAGCCTTGGTGTTGACATTCCGTGGAAATGTCAAGCTATTCAAGCTTGGTGGTGAATCATTTCTCTCCTGGGTAGCTAAGAGTATAGAAACGCGATGAGAAAAAACTTAAGCAAATAGATGAATGCCACATGTGCTATAATGCAAAAGAATAAAATTATGTTGTTCAACAATAACATTAAATTATTGATACTTAACATAATTCGAAAGTATAATATAATATAGTTTTAAGTGTAACTATAACCAAATGTATTTATTATGAACTATTTTGTTGAGTTCGTATGACTTAAGGTTTTTCAAAAAAAGTTAAAGCTCACGTTTGTTAGTTTGGTCATAAAAATAATTATTCTTTTTTTTACTTGATTTTATAAAATCTTTAATTATGAAATTATTGATTAATAATTATGGGCTTTATCTTAAATATTACACTTATCTTACCCAACTATTGTAAAATGGGAACTACTTTTTATGGACCCCCTCCTCCACGCACACACTCACGTGTGAGATGGGAAAGATGGGTATAATGGGGTAGTATGGTAAAACAGGGTATTGGTGGTATAGGTCATGCTGTAATCGATTGGTGATAATCAAATCGTAATTTATCAATACAAGGCATTTTACCCACCTTTCCCCTATTTATTTGTTTATATTTTTGTAATAATAAAGCTGACACTCCAGAGAGAATTATTAAATGCAAGAGAAAAATTTGAAATTCTTTACTGATATATTTTTTTACAGAATAATAAAAGCCATACAACTTGGGAAAATCACAAAAATATGTTTTAAGACAATTTTATGATTATTGACAAGACAAGATAATATATGAGTTGGGAAACCATGGAATGACAGTACCGTCATAAATATATATAAATTGTTTAATACAAAAAGGTAGATAGTAAAATTCTTACATCTTATTTCCAATGCGATCACTATAGTGAATTCGTATAAAACTCTGATTGAAGTGATTTATGTTCAATATAACGATTTTTTATACTTTAAACAGGTAGTTGGGTTTAAAAAAAGCTTTTAAATTATTTATTTTTAATAAAATATTTACAACTTATTCAATAAAAACCACAATCCAAAAAAAAAAATATTATATAACATTAGAGAATGATAATAAACAATAATTATAGTTTGTAGTTGATGAATAATAATTTCTTATAAATTATTTTTATCACACATCAAATTTATACCAATACCTAAATTAAAAATTGTATTCACTCGTTTTACTGAGTATTCTGCAATAATCTAAGTTGCCACACCTTAATAATATTTCCCGTTTACCAAAGCCAAACATTTTAAATAACATTAAAGTAGTTAATTAAGACTTAGTTAAAATTTACCTATAAAGCCTATAAGGATACAAAATTACTATGTTAAATTAAGTAATTAATTATGTTGATACTAATACAGCATGCTATTTCAGTTACCGAATTGACGATTTATTTCTGAAACGATGTGAAAATTAATTTCGTGTTTTATATAGGCGCATTAAATAGGCAATTTAACTACAGATAAGGATGTGTGTATTATAACACATTACTTTCTTCCACTAGTCATTTTCGAGAGTTAATACAGCGATCTAAAAATAAACATCGAGCGTCTAATCGCTCAAACGTCTCAACTGCAAAATAAAACCATTAAAAAACTCGTTAAAAACATACTTAGCGTAACGCTGAAATCGTTTGTCGAAGAAAGACGGTTACGTATACCTATGGGTATACCGCATTTATGGTGCAAAATGTTTTGCCTTTTTTTTCCTCGTAGCGACTTCCTATTTTGTAGTCATTATTGTTATGTTTTACAAGAGGGTGTAAGTGTTGTAAAAACCATAAAAGCGATTTTAAAATACTTTTTTTGCTAATAAATGTCTCCCCGTAAAACGGCTTACTCGAGTAAAACATTTCTTTTTATACACTCAATTCTATCGCCATGTGAAGATGCCTACAATATATAATAATACAGTAACTATTTTGGTTGTTGGACTTGCTTGGGATTTCAGACTATACAACAACATGTGTTTAGGCAAGTAGTTTCTTTTTTAAGAAAATGTTACATTGCACGACTTTCCGAGACATTCTTAACAAGAAGAAATACAATAAATAAAATTTAAACATTGAATAATTAATACAAAAATTAATAAATGCTGAATATTATATTTTTTTTATTATTTCAATTAGTTTAACTTAATTATTTATTATATCAACTTTGATAATTGACCATTTTGATTTTTAGGCTAAATAATCAATGTATTACACTTTTGATTAAATTAATGTGCTTTGATATTATTTTTTAGTGACTGACTAAAATTCAGTCGGTTAATGTGCATAATAAACTAATAAAAGTATTGCCATACAACGTTGCTGTGATATTTATACTTAATGCTAATAATTTAATGCTGCAGTTCCTAAAACTCAATGCGAAACTTATATAGTGTATCATATTATACACTAGTAGTGTATAATGTGATATAGTTAGATGATTATAGTTAGATCAGATAAAAATTAAGCCCCTATCCTTCTCAAATTAATATCAAAACCGTATTAACTCAGTAGATTTTCATGACTCAAACTAATTTATCCTAACTAATAATTTCACTACCCGGCCACAGTGACATATCTTTGAAAGATATTTCACTTCTTTGATAGACTCTGAAATTTGAGATAACTTGCAAAATTACAGAGTGATTATGACACATAGCTTATAAATTATATTTTTATTAACATAAGAGTGTTTGCTCTTGTCAAAATATTTTTGAACCTCAAACGAAAAAAGGAAAAAAACAACCACAGTAATCAAAATAGTTGAAATAATTGTGTGTACAAATAAGACAATTTTCCGTTTTTTCGACTTTTCTATGAGATTTTACTTTTTTTTTCTAATCGTTTTTATGGAGAACCCAGTTTGAAATTTACATTTTTATTGTAAAATTTTCTCAGCTTTTTAAAAAATATATTAGAAAAGTTCTCAAATTATAGGCCACACAAAAAACCAACTTTTTAGATTAAAAGGTCAATTTTAATGACTCTGTTAATAAAAAAAAAAAATTTAATATGTTTTTCAAAAAGCTGAGATAAATTAACATAAGAAACTGATTTTTAATACATTTTTTTATGGCTTAAGATAATATGAAAAAACGATAAAAGAAAAGAGTAAAAAAAAACTAATAATATATTTTGAGAAAATTCTTTTCATTGTAAGACATACAGAGTAAGTTTCAAAAAAAGTTCCGCTAAGAAGTGTTTTAAAAGGTCGTCCGTATTTGGTGTTTTGACTCATATTTATAATTAAAAAAGCCACATATATAGGAGGAAATTCTGGTTCACCGGCAATATTTAATTAAATTAGATTATTTTTTTTATTTTCAGTTTGAATAACAACCATGTTATTTATAGAAAACTTTTCGTCAACTACTGCGTTATACGTCACTATTCGACAGCATTTATCTTAATAATATTAAATATAATATATTTAATGCCCATATAGTTGCTTAATGCTTTCATCCTACGTTACTTCTTAATGAAACAATGTAATAACCAGGCAGTCTTTAAAGGACTGAACGTCGGGTGAGCGCTGTGCTTACATTATAGGTCCTGAACAAATATTTTTTTTTATTTATGCATAATATACTAATTTCATGATATCTGTCAACAGGCACCGTATGCATACCTTTGAACCACCTGTGTACCGACAACGGTCACTTGAGGCCGCCTCCACGGAGACCACCGAAAAAATCCGGATGCGACAGCAGCAACGAGGGCGGAAGCAGCAACAGCAGCATCAATACTGCGGCAACAACGGGCAGCAACAGGACTGTTCAAGGAGAAAATACAAATTCCGTGTCTTGACAAAAGGACGAATGTCCGACTCCAAGGAGTGCGACAGCGCAGATTTGGATATGACGGAAGTGACTGCCATGTGAGAAAGACAGTGCTTCCGCTGACGCTGTTGTTTTTTCCGGAGACAGAATATTAATAGTAATTATCATCCAGCGGGCTCGTTTTAATTTATATTTTATTGCTCTATATATAATTGCGCGCGCAGCCAGCCGCAGGTGGCGAACAACGATAATAATGTATATTTTAAAACAAAAAAAAATAAAAAATGAACTTTTCGTTGAAACGGGCATGCGATATGCATTATAAATATGCGTCATAATTTAATCGTCGTCCAAACTTTCTATAAATTGACGTTTAAATGGAAATATTGTAAGTGAAAATTACAAACACTTTATAAAACTTTAAAATTGATTTATAAATATCTGTTTTTAGACAGCCGACTTTTACATAACGTCAGGTTAAACTAAACCGGAAACCCAAATCACCAGCTTTTACGAAAATACTATAAAATGTTTTGTCGGAAATCTAGTTGACATAATATTATTACATGGGTGCCAAAAGTCTTGTACGCACTTCAGAAATTTCTTTTTTCAGGAAAAATTAATAAACTTTCGGTCTGAACTATTTAATATTCGATCTTGGGCAATTTTATTGATTGACATTCGACGTAATTAGTTTTAAAACTTTAAACGAGTTTCTCTCTTAACACATATTTTCGAGAAACTCTTTTTTCCCCTACGTTTTAGTACGGTCGGATTAACATATTTGTAATCGAAATTTTGAAAAGAGAAAAAAATGTTTATTGTCTGATATTATTTTTACAAAAAAAAATTGGCAATGAGTTTTTATGTCTCGATTAAGTCGGCTGAGGAAATTACTTGTTGTTCATACTTCCAGTATCGAAAATGGTAATAGAAATATTGTTATGGTTATTCGATGTCAACGCTACTGAAGTCATTTAGAATTACCAGATATATTATTTATTATCTAATACTAGTTTTCTAGTTTGGATTGTGATGGTTAAATAATTAAGAGTAGATCCACCCGTAATAGCTTATTGCAATTAAAAATACTCGAAGGAACTCAGTTTAAAATCATTGTAGGAGAGGTAATTGGAAACATGGAAAAGATACTTTTGTAATACGAGTTTTTTACTGGGAAGACGTACGCCAAACAACACAAATAGACACTACACGCTATTTTCTTAACATCCAAACGAGTCCGGGAAATCTAATACAACTTTAATAACATAAAAATGTATATAAGACTTAGTACGCCCTAAATTTAAACTAAAAAAACTCCTAACTCGACGCAAAAGTAAATAAGACAAACTGGGTTTTGTCGTGTTGATATTTGTGAATTGTTAGCGTATTTTCATTAAATTCATTCGGACTTCATAAAGAATTTATAAAAAAAAACTTCTTGATTATTGAGGATTACATCGTGAATACTAGTAAAACCATGAAAAATATTATTTGGGCTATCGCTGTGCAACGCAAAAATACGCCAAAATGATAAGTTTACAATTAATGCTATTTAATCGAAGGCACGTTTGGAATTTTAATCGTTTCCGCCTTCAGGGTTGCCGAATTGATTGACAACGCCGCCAATGTTATAAACGTTATTCTCGTCTGTTCATTGTTTTCCCGTGCAATTACAGCATCTGGCCCCACGGACGAAACGCCTTGCTCGTGTAATAACGTTTGACGAACACGAACAACCCAACTATAATGTACTGCACTTTACTTACCGTTTAATCCGTACACGGTTAGGTTAGATTCGGCCGGATCATTCCTAATACACGCGCGATTGTTATCTAATCCGAAATCGTGACACGAGTCGAGGCCGGACCAAAAATTATGCGTTTAGTATTCAATGTCGCCGTTTGCAGTCCAATGACCAATCTCCATAGTTTGGTCGGCTTAATGAACACTGGTGCACACCGGAAGTACCCTTTCCAAAACGTCTCCGTTTCAGCAACACACACGCGTTAATCGAAACAGCCATAAAACGCCCCACGAATCTATAAAATGCAATAGGTTGGAATGAGTTAATACAACCGAACTAAAGTAGTCCATAATTCATTTGTATTGTCTACAATAGTTATAGATTTTACAACAACCATACCTGCTTGATGGGGAAACAGTACAAAAGATGCACAATTTCTTATTCCCCTTGGAATTGCAACCGATGTGCCTCAAGCTATTTTTTTAAATAATCACTAAACATATTTATGTTCAAAAATCCTTTATATATCAATTGATCATTTTATGTTTCTTAATGTTCGAAATCGATAAATTAACATACTTGGACCACGTATTAAAATTCTCATTAAAATTAAAAGTCACGAGCATAAATGTTTTTTTTTTAATAAGTGTCTCGGAAAAATACAATGTCCTAGTATTATTTATACATGCACCAATACGGCCATTAGAGTTTAATTACCATGCTATATATTATTGTGTGTTGTAAAAATTACGCAAAAGCAGTTTTTTATTATAATAGTCCATTGATTTGTTCAAACATTAATTTAATAATATTAGTATTATTTATTTTTGAATGGTTTGTGAAAGAAAAGTGAAGTTAATTATTTTACCAGGTAGACGGATCGATATCTACAAAAAAACTGTTAACTGTACACCCTTTTATAGAAACGCACATAAAATACATAACACAATTATTATTCTATAAATTAAATTCATTAAAATATAATATAAAACATTCAACTAAATACAGGCATATTTTACATTTAACTGGTGTGTATAAAATCAATGTTTTGAAATACCATATATTTATAAAATCTGAATGTCATAAAATAAAATATAAACGAAAACTCGTATGTACTAAGTATTAAAAATAAAAACCATCCCCACAGCCATATTTTTTGGAATATATTATTTAAATTATTATGTTATAGGTTTCAAATAAATAAGAAAAACTAAATTTAAAAAATATAAGAGTTATAAAATACTTATAGTAAGAAATTCAACAAAACTATAATAGTATTATCCTGAACAAATATGTTTAAGACACTTAAAACCGAGTAAGGAAAATAAAACATTCATTATACCTAACATAATACGTCGTATAAAAGTGTTTACTAATTTTTAACTTTTTTTAAGCTTAGTTGTTATTTTTCACGTAAACACGTAATTAGAGTTTATGTTATAGCTTATTATGAACAAACTCAATTAAAAACTTTTCGTTTTCTGAGTTCCCAGCTTAAGTGTGAATTGCCAATTATGTTTAATATTCCTTTAGCAGTCAAGCGCATTACCTGTTGGTATACTGTCTCGCCGATAAACTAACTAGGTGGTATTTGTAAAAAACTTCAGTCGGTATTCTGTTTACTGCACAACTTGCTTGTGCTGTAGCCTGTACCAATGTACCAAATGGCCAACTATAGACTTAAAAGCCGCGGTACTGATGGGGAAAAAATGTTCATGTCATGGCCAAGATTTGCCGGCTCTATAAAATTATCTACAAACGTTCTCATATTTTGAACTACCCTTGTTCAGCAATCGCCAATAATAATATACACGATATAGGATTATAATAAAAATGTCGTTGTTCGCTAGCTCGGTTCAAGTACATCCAGGCCTTTTCGGTCTTTTGTCTGCGGTAACAAGTGTGTGTTATGCATTTATATGCTATTATAATATATGTATCGCCCTATACCACTACATAACCCGTATGTAAATAGCTTTGGCGTGCACGTTTAATTAAAATAAACTTTTTTTCGCACAAACGTAATTTATTTAAATATTTAAAATTCACACGAATGGTGTTTGAATAAACTATACACTTTCAGGTAACCCATCGGTTTTGAAAGCTTTTCAGCCGGCCCGACGTTATCAGTTTGCCCGTAATAATCAGAATTATTGTGTTTAAGAAACGCGTTTTCCTATAATACTTTTCAGAGGTAACAGACCAGCGTTTTTCATGCACTGATCCTTGCACATAATTAATGTAATACTATAATAAATGGATATAATTCCCCAAACGCCCTCCCCTACCCTATCGTGCCAAATAAAGGTATATCTTGTAACATGTTCCTAAACACGGTCGTCGTCGTTGACGTTATTATTATTATCATTATTATTATTATTGTTAATATTACTATTATATTATTGTTATAAATTAAGTTTAATTTAATGCAATATTGTCCTGCGTAGTGGTTGTGACTATTATATAGGTACATAATTTCAGCTGTGTTAAATATTGGTTTACTTACAATTAGTAATAAACCGTTTGTCTAATATTATCAAAATCTATGACAAAATATTATATTTTCACTTGTAACCGTTACGCTTACTCTGAAAAAACGTAATGTTCAATTCCATTTAAGTGTAAGAATATAATGTACCTACACAGTGAAATAGCTGAGATTTTCCTATTTAAAATTACACCTTAGTTCGTAGTTTGAACTTTTTAAGCTAATCACAAAACTTCACATATAAATCGTTAAGCCACGCATTGTACGTATAAAAACATTTAATATAATTTATACACAACCATTAATTTAATTTCAAATGCTCGAGCTTAAACTATAGCCAAAGAAGCTTCGTGAAAGATCCTTTAATAAAATTGAACAAATACTAACGTAGTATACATTTAAATTTAAAAAAAATATTTATACTTAATTTAATTGTTTTAATAAGTTTTCGTTTCAAGCTCAAAACTATTCTATTGATTTTTAAATACTTGAAAAGATCTGTGCAAAATATGAAAAACCCGACAAACCCCAAGCACTTTGACTCCCCTAAATGGCCACAATATAGTTCCTTTTCATCTTAGCTAAAATGGGATGGAAAGATTAATAATTATATTGCAGGATGTCAATTGAATACTTACCAACAACCGACGTTTGAATTTAAACAGTTTTTTTCACAAAAAATGGACCGTATTTTTAATGAATATTTCTTAATATTCATTAAAAGTAATTAAAAATATAAAGCTCATTAATTTTTGCACAGAGTCCTTTAATTCTTCAATTGTCAATGTATGTGTGGTGCCATACATTTATATTATATTCATTTTACGAATTTTTTATGTATAACATTTTCAACTCGTTTTATAATATATAATTATACAAATCTTGTCCATCATATTATAATCATTTAGATGGCATGGTGCACAAGTGAGATAAGTGAATTCATTTGAGAAATTGAATTATGTTTAACAATAGATATCTAATAGTCTTTTACACGTTGTGTACATAAGTTGGAAGCCACTACATATCAATTTGTATTGCTACAGAACACTTAAAATTAATTAAATTCGTGGAATGGTATGAATGGTATAAATGTTCAAAGATGATTCCTGTAAAATTATAAAGTACATTTATTACACATGTGCACTATGTCATCGATATAATTTATGTTTTTAAATTATAACTATAAATATCATCAACTAAAAAATATAAAACAAATGTTTTTTTTTTAAAATAATAAATGTATAAAAGCACAAATTATTATATCATCCTTCAAAATCTCTAAACACCTTATTCTATTGCGGCTATCACAGCAATAATCCAAATTCCAAGTTACCATATTTTTGTTTATTATTACATTTTTAATTGTATAATAATAATTTAATTATAACTATACATTTTCAGGTTATTTATTTCAATAAAAACCTTTACCTGTTTTTTTTAATAATATATATTTTGAATTTTTCCAAAACAAGTACGTAAAATGTATTAATAATACATTTATTTTCAGCTAAATAAATAGTTTGACAAAATACTTGGTTAAAATGTCTATGTATTTTGAAAACAAGACAATTAGTTAGGTTAATCGTGATGGATAAATAATAATCTAGCTAAGCAAGTTTTTTAAATAGCCTCCAAAATTGTTAAAAAAAAAAAACAATAATTTTCGTATAAAACACGATGGAAATATCTCAAATAGCGCTTTAAACAATTTTAGAGGCGATTTAAAAAATATCTAGACATCCTAGAATAGTTCTAAGGCTAAACTTATTACTAGTCAACTTTTTTTATACCGTTTAATTAATTGTTAATTAGCCCATATACTAAAGATAAATAGTGTTATCTGATTCACAGTATCTTGTCCATGTTAGTATCTTTTTGTTATTCGATGTAAATATTTTGAAATAAATACCTTAGTTAACATTCACAATTTATATTTTATTTCTGACATTTTTTACATTTTTAGTACTTGTAAAATTTAAATTTTCTAAAAATTCCGACGAGAGAACCTATAGTTAGCTTTCCCCTTTTTAACGGTATAAATTTTTTTTCTATGATCATTTCGCTCTGCCATAAACACGTTTATTACGATTACTACGATTATTTTTAAATGGTATGACGTCCCTTTAACATCAAAATCATAATAACACAAAATCCAATCATCACTGGCGCTCATCCCTTGGAACGACGGTACTTGTGTCCCAAAGGATCTGTGTTCCACTAACATACTGCCTACTTCTACTTCCTAGGACGTTAGGCATTGTGTAAGAATAATGGGTTTCGCTTCAAGTACGACACCATAAAAATAACAATATTGTAAATTATTTTGATTTGTCCCCCTCCCTGAAAATTACTAGATGGGCATCCTTTATGGTCTTCACCAACCTATCTCTTACTTCCAATGTTTGGCCGTCACTCATAAAATCATGTGTTATGACTTATGACCTGTGATTTTACTCGACTAATCTTGCTATAGAGTATAGCGCAACTTAACTGACGGGGATGCGGATTCTATAATCTTGTATGATGTACGAGTACATCTATCTAATGTATTTATATAGTATCCTGTTTCAAGGTAGCACACAGATTTTTTTAAAAGAAAATAAACAGAAATACAATAATATGTATTGTTATAGATAGGTACGTAAAGAAATACAGATTTAGACTATTCAAACATAAAAAAATACCAATAATTTTCTCTCTCGGCGTTTAATTGTACTACGTTTGATTTTTCAAAAACGATAATTGAAAGAAAAAATAATGTTTTTGTATCAAAAAAATGTCGTACGTTTATTCTGCGTTGTCCAATTTATACCGATTATTGTGCCGATTGGTAGTACAAAATTATTAATAACATAAATAGCTATTACCTAGTGGCTAGTGATGTTTCAAGTCAGATATCAGATGAGGTAATTAACATGATTAGGAAAGTTAGACTTTGGCCATCTTCCGGTAGGATACCTATTGTTCGGCTTAATGGAGACTGAAGTTAATACGCCAAAAGTTTAATTAGGCAAAACTAGTACGCTAATTTGAGGCACGGTCAAAGAAACTCGACACAAAGTTTAGCAAATGTGGTGGACTCATAGTGGCCAGAAAACAACTACCCAGCAATCAGCATATTTTAATAACTAATAATATAAATATTTAATGTGGTATAACACGCATGGCGTACCTATTTGATAATTTTATTTTATATTATCAAAAAACGTCCACAAAAAGCGTTATTAACCGAATAAATAATGACAATTCTATACTGCCAATAAGTACATTATTGTAATTGTACTTTAAACACTGTTATTTTGACACAGAAATAAAAAAAAAAAATCGATATCCGGTCGTTTCCACATTACAATATAAAAAAATCAGTACAGTTCAAACCAAGCACAGTATTAATCAGAACAGCCTAAACATTCCAAACTAGTATAGTTTAAAACTGTAGAGTAAAAATCAAGTTCCGTCTTAACCAGTGCTGTACAAACCCAGCACAGTTTAAGCCAGGCTAGAAATTAACATAAATTAGCATAGTGGTTCAAGAAAATTCAATTTGAAAGTGATTTAATTACTTTCAAACGCTTCGATGCGAATCTGTATGTACTATAATATAGTATAACCTAGCCATAGTATAAGCCAGTACAGTCCAAATTTGTAAGGTTTAAACCAGTATGAGTTGAATTTGAGGTGTTGATGGAGATAGAGATGGAGATGGAGTTGGAGTTGGATATTGATGTGGTTGTGAAGATGGAGCAAAAATTGGAAATTAAAATAATTTGTAGCGAGCTGCAGATTTTTTTAAAATGGGATTTTCACGGTTTTAGATTCAGGAACAATGAATTTATAAAGTCGATGAATAAGATACACAATTATTCACTATTAATTTGTCAGAGTGATCTAGTTTTTATTTTGTACACACAATTGTTGAAAAAGATATGTTTTACATGGATATGTCTTTTGGCTGGGGGTCATAAGAAAATCTGTGTGAGCATCACGGTGAACGTTATCGTAGAAAAAATATGCGTGTAGCGCGGTCTAGCGATTGTTTTTTGAGTCAAAGAGCTGATAAATAATTATCAGATAAGATATGAGAGATAAGAGATAAGATATTAAAGATAAAAGATTAGGACAAGGAGGAGGAGTGGTCGAGTGGGTAAGGCAGCAGTGTGTTAGCGCTCGCTGTCGCCGGTTCGACATTCGGCACGGGCGCTCCTGTTTTTTTTATTTACTCTCCTGTAAGGTTGACTCCAGTTAGGTCGTTGTTCTTAGGAAGTATGGAATGTAAGTTGGATTGGAGATGTTTTGAAGTTAGAGGTGGAGTTGGAGTTGGATGTCCATTTTTACCTATATCTCCATCTCCAGCTTTGTCTCCAACTCCAGCTCTGTCAGCAACTCCAACTCTAACTCCAGCTTCATCCCCCATCTCCATCTTCAAGTCCGATTACACCTCAAATCCGACTCTTATTCTATACTTTTAAGGGGAGAGGGTCGTGTGAAAAAAAAAGTTTGCATTTTTTTTTATTTCTTAGAAAATTAGTTTATCATCTGTAGAATGTTCTTTTAAATTTTCAAAACGAAATTTAAAGTCTAAATATACCTATAGTGTTAAGGCGCACTCTAGTGGCATGTTCTAACAGTGCTACGCACAGTTAACGCGTTTTTCTCAAAATAGAAATATTTTGCACGCCGTGTAATGTAGCTCAATGAATTTAAATCCGATTGACATATGGTTTGGCCCATTTTGTTCCTTAACTTACTGGCTTTAGAATGAACCTAAAAACGTATTAATTATTATTACTTAATTAATAATAAATACTATTTTTTAGAAGTTTTTTATACAAAAAATAGGTATTTTTGTTAATCCTTAATAATGATCCTGAATTTTTAATTTTTTGAACTTTAGGTTCATGCAAAGCCTATGAACGTATTTTAACGGAAAAATGTTATAATATTGATTTTAGAAAATTATAGCAACCTGTACGCTGTACGGCGCAAAAACGAAAAGCCAGATTCAACAGCTGCAACGCCGCCATTTATTATTTTTTCGATATGAAACTTTTTTATAAAATACTTTAAACTGGCAATTTCATGATGTAATTTATTCATATAAAAATTTATTCGTATAAAAATCTTACCATTTTTTCAATAAAAAAATCTGAAAAAACGGGTGTTTACACGACCATCCCCCCTTAAATAACAACGACCTAACTACAGTCGAATTTTTCAAGAGAGTTAATTGAAAAAAATAAAAGAATAGTGGGGGTAGTAGTATGCATATATAAACAATTACTGCAGAGTAAATCGCTCGACTACCTCCTACTCGAAGCAAGAGGCTCTAACAGCCTGGAACGTTTGACAAAGGGTTGGTTACTATCACCCGTCCAACCAAGCATAGCATGGATCGCTCAGTCTACAAGCACCAGTGGAGCGAACAACAATATAACCAGTATGCAACACAGCCCTGAATATAGAAGACGATAGGCTTTCGAAACGTAAGCAAAGCGAATTTGTAAATATAGGTTTGACCGTAACAGTGGCGTAGTTAAGGGGAGGGATGATGGGGATAGATCCCCTCAGAGCATTTATTTTTTATGTTAGATTTATGATACAAGTAAAATAAAAACATAATACCTTTAACCTACCGAGTCCTTATCTTAGTTTTCACATTGTACCTATCATACGCAATAAGACACCGGCCACGCGGAAAACCAGTTTTTTTAAAATATTTAATTGTGATGATAAGTGATAACCACTGACGCACTACCTATAACCAGGAACCATGTGTACCCATACCATAATTTTATCTATTCTGTGCTCATAATACCCACGTGTCATGTGTAGAGTGAAAAAACTGATATCAAAATAATACAATTTTATTTTATTAACTGACATTTTTTCGAAAATGCATAAACAAAAAAGTCAAAGAATATTATAGAGCATCCATAGAATATTATAGACCGACTTTTTTCCTCTTATAAGTTATATGATATATTGAATATAAAAAAGTTTGTCAGTGGAATCATGGAGACCTCACCGACTGCCGTTATCACCGTATAATTATTTGTCCACTACAATGACGACAGTAATGCACATGACGGATACAATTATGCTAGTTATAACGAAAGTCGAGTCTAGTGTTTCGCAGTCATAAACGAGACATGGAACGAGAATGGCTAATGAGTTT